ATGATTGACACCTTCTCCTAGGAAACAATCATATTTATGTGCAGTAAACAATCATATTTATGTGCAGGAAACAATCATATTTATGTGCAGTTGTGGACGCAACAAGCAAAAGAATTTCATTGATATCATCAAGTCATCATGTAATAGTGAATTTGATATAAGTGACGCTTTATGGAAGAATGGAATGTCTTGAATTACCGTGCACGATTCCCTTGAACTCCAACCCTTCTATGCAGTAAAAACCTCAGCAAGGTCAGAATTCAGACCAGAGAAAATCAGAATAAGCAGGAAACTGAAGTGGAACTATTCATTCCCGCATCTATATGGGAATGGGAAAGGAAAAGGGTCTACTGGGACCGAAATCACCCATGTACTGATTAATATGTTTAAGGAAGGAGTCGGCCTAGCGTCCCTGTAACATTCGCAAGCGAAAGACGCTCACAGAAACTCGTCCACCGCATCGCGACTGCGACCACTGGCGCGGATCTTCGGACGATTCTGTTGACACGCACCCAGGGATCGCCCATGCGCCGCATGAACGAGCGATCATAGGCCCCGCTCAATCTGATGAATGTGCACCGATTTGTTTTATTGGTAACGACGAATCGCCGAATCCCCTAGTCCCAGACACATCACATTTCTAGATCGATAAGTATGATTTTTTCAGCCACATCGCCAAATAGACGATTCGCAAACTATGAACAAGCCTAAGTGAATGGAAGATACGCTGCGGTTAAACGGCGCGGATACGTAGCAGAAAATTATCGCGCGATGCCGCGGCACAATCCACAGTTTTCCAACTCCAGAATTTCGAACGGATGTTCTTTCCGTAACATAAGTTTCCCACTTGAATTGCTTGGTTTAAAGGAATCTTCCACGGAAAAAGCTCCGCCCTCATTACCACAGAAAACGATACCTTAAAGGAATCTTCCACGGAAAGAGTGATCATTTTGTCTTGTGTGTAGGATTAGTATTATCGAAACTAACGCTTATGTTCCGTTCTTTTTGCTATGCTCATGAGGCTAGGGGCCTAAGGGGTATCGTTTTTCTGTGGTAATGGAGGCGGAGCTTTTTCCGCGAAGATTCCTTTAAGCAAACAGTTACTCGAAATTTTTCCTGAAAAGTGGATCAGCTGAAAAGTTCCAAAAGTGGTAATCAATAACAGTAAAATATAAAACCTGGATTGAGCTTGTTTGTGAGCTGTGCAATCTTTTCCATTCTCGTTTGGCCGACTGTTGGTCCAATATGAAGATCTGACAGGAGAGCCAATCGCAGCTCACCATGTTGTAATTTCTGAAAAAAAAACATGTAAATAAACAATTCAAAGGCCACAGGAGATACAATAAGCTAATTTACGCTCATCCATTCCTTTTGGGATACATTTCAATAGAAAGTGTGCATATTGAAGCAGAGTACCCAGGGTTTTGAAACCACGGCAAATTATATATGACAATATTTCTTAATTTAGTTTTGCATGAAAAAATGGGCAACCTATCCTGAAGCTCTTCCTCATTCAAAGTTTAAATTTTCGACATTCGTACGAACTAATGCACCAGACGCCCTTCCCCCTGATTGGATGAAACCTTTTTCAATTTCAAATTGTAGTAGTAGTATGATAAGAAAGACCAAAGACTAATTTTGAGATCTTTTCGCAAACGAAACGATCAATACATATTAAATGGATTCCTCATAAAAGAGTAGGCATCTGCTCATCTCCTGTCTCCCCCAAGAATTCAAACTAGACAAGCTCTTTTTCAAAAAGTGTTGTCAAAGAAATGACGTGGCAGCCCACTCAATCTTTGATGCCTTGGCGGCGCGTGTGATATCGGACCTGGCCTTTGATTATCAACGGAGATAAGAACTTTGGACTCTGCTCAGCTGTGTGGTCGCAGAATCTCTTAGCATGCCCTTTAAGACCTTAGAAATGGTGAATACTGAGCGAAGATTCGGAGCTATTCCAGTAAGGAGAATTTTGTTGGAGAAATTCCAAGGCCAAGTCAGGAAAAGGAGGACTTCTGCCTTGAATTGACAGAGGGAAGAAACTACAAGGTGAGAACCAATTTAATTATCAAATGCGAACACTAATTTTGCACAACGTTTTGTGCTTTTATCCCGAAACTCTTTCCCCTAAAGGGTGCACGGAGTAGGCTCGGTCCAATAAGGTGTGACGCTCATTTGAGCTCCTCTGCCTCTTAAAAAGTCACATTCTTCAGCTTTTGCCACATCACTCCTAACCTCCCCCCCCCCTTGCCCAAGCCCTAGTCTTGAATATATACATATCCCGCCTGGCCTGGCTAAAAACGCTTCACGCTCCAGCCTTTCGCCGCAGAAAACAGAACTGTTGAAGTAGTCGGTTTGAACACAAATCTCATTATTTCGGCCCACAGTTGTTTGATCACATCATGCGAAACCAAATGCCGTTCAATAAAGAATAAATCGGAGGAAAAGTACAAACATGGAGCTCGCCCCTTACGCCGCGTTACAAGGTTGTGACTTTGATTAGGATAGGAGGCATAGAAGATCAGGACAGTAGCAGAGTAGGACATTCCGCTGGAAAGATTGGATACTATCGATTGGAATCGCTGGACAAAGTAACTTACGAGTTTAGGATACTAGGAGTGAAGTAGGGAGAGGTAGTACCCTAAAACGGATGACCGTCAACAGAATCGTCAGCTCGCCGCGCCCCCACGCGCGGCTAGTCGTGCGATGCTGACGATTCTGTTGCCCACGGAGCCCCCTGAAACGAATAGTTCACCTTGAGACACCTAATCTACTACTTCCGAGTGATTCTTATTGATACGTATCTAAGCTTCCCCTCATTCACCTTTGCTGAATCGATTCACGAGAAAAAGTATTGCGACGCGCAGAAGATAAATGCTCACGAAAAAACGGTAAGAGCAGGGCAGCCAGGTCTAATGACAAATATATGCTTTTCTTCCAATTTCTGAACCTACACCCTTACTTATACGAACTTCTATTGAAAATTGGACCACGCGTTAACAGCGATTACAATAAATCATTCAACCAAAGGAAAAATTACACAAAAAATGGTTGAGCAAATATCAAGACACAGCCGCTTGCACAAGATGGAACTAGGATATTTGTCCCATTTTTCTTACACAAACACACCCTACGCGGGGTGGACAATTCATTTCTTAGTAGTACCCTTTTGTGCTTAGACAAAATTTACACACGAAAAAAACTTACCCTTTGCAAAAATAAGATATTTGACCAAAAAGCCTTTCAAGCTCCCTTACAAACACGACAATGCTTTTGATGGGATAATCGTTACCAAATCGTCACAAAAACTCATCCGCAAAGTCTTTTGCAAAGGCGATTTTTATTGTTACTACGGAAGAGACTTCAAGGCCAATAGGGGAAAAACAAGCGAAAAGTCACCTTCAAAGGAATCGTCACCCGCGTGTAAACCGGCTCCGTGAACGTCGTGTAGAGTCCGCCAAGAATGAATAATAGAGCACAAAATAAGGAGAGAAATGTGTAAGTGTGACGATTATTTACTATATACCTTGAAAATTGGAAATCTCAACAATGAATGTAAAGGTCAGAAAATTAGTACAATACCTGTTTATCGACTCGAGAACACCGTATTTCAAAGAGACCGTACTAAGAAAATGAACAGATTCAGCAATGACTAAGAACACTACCACGTGTAAATACGCTGCCAATCCAACCAGGCTTATCTGAGCGAGAAGATGAGGTTCTGCTCCTGCAAGAATAGCTAACTGATATTGGTTGCAAAAAAGGAATACCTGAGATACTCTGTAAGAAGTTGTTTCCTGTAACCTGGGGTGTCGTACTGCAGAACGTGAGGTATCTCTCGTCAAAGTTACAGTAGTTATTCAATGCTATCTAGGCGAGAGAGGCAAATGCAGAACAAGAACATCGCTCAAAGGATGCAGTCCGTAGGAGGATCATAGATGAGTTGTTAAGTCTGCGTTTACGACATCTCAGTTACGGAAAACGAAAAATAGCTGCTAGACGTCTCAAGCACTCGAAAGCCTTACCTAGGAGTAAGAAATAGAATATCATTGAGAACTGCGATAATACAAGCATTATAAGAAGTGTAGCTCGTGCGACGTCCTGCAAACAAATAGTCCGCCATCGTAGACGAGCCGGTGTAATTCGGTCCGGATCCAAATGGCTGAAAAATTCAAAGATAAAAATTAAAATATTCAAAAATAAAAAAGCAAAAAACGCAGCAACAGTAAGCTGATGACCAAGAATATTCAACGCTGTTACAAATGTTGGCTACTCGTAAAAAGGGAACAGTCCTGAGGTTCAAAAATTGATTGAAAATGCTCGCTATGAGCGAGGCTACCACGGAATTTAGAAGCCTAAAAACTGTTAGTAGAAAACGGTGACGTTAATCTTAAGTAAATACACTTTGTATTCTGCAATCAAGGAAAAACAATTATAAACGGAATAAGTGGATAAAAATTTAAAAAAAAAACCCAAAGGTGTCGTAGATGCAGACTAGGCAACAGACGTAACGTCAGATGGTACCCTACAAGAACACGTGCAAAAGAGAAAGTGTTACCGCCTGTGCAATTGATAATGCAGGTGCAAAATTCCACATTGCAAAAGTAAACTACAGCTCTTTTGTTTTTTTACGTGAAAGTTAAGAAATCCAGAAAATTGCAAAAATCAGTAGCGGAAATCGGAAAGCGAGGCCCGATTTTATGATCGCGATTGACTCTGCAAACCGTTGCAAAAGCAAGGTTACATCAACTAAGGAAGATCATTGACAATACTAGTACTAATTTACAAAAGGAGATCAACGTAATAGACCATTCATGATATCGATCGATACAGTGCCCGGGCAGGTCGCTTGGTATAAGTATTATTTCGTGCCCATTATTCAAAGTAACGCTGTTGTTCAATGTGTTTTATCAATCGTTTTACTTTTTCGTTGCTTCTTACTGTAATGAGATTCTCGTGATGTTGTACGAAAGCATCACACGACGTGTCTAGCCAAAGGAATACCGGGCGATTTAAATGAAATACGTGCGAAACGAGCGCATTTTCGTGTGATGGCCGTCATGTCGTTGAACATGTGGTCAATTTAGACGTGTGACCGCCTGCACGCCTATTTCGACGCCCAGCGATTTCAAGCGATCCCAGCACGTGGCTTGGCGTCATTCGTTCTTTGGAGAAATCCCTCACGTACATCCCAATAATATCAGCTGTTTTAAATTTTTGCATTTTCACTTGCTTTTATTTACCCTTGAAAAATCGTGTTATTTTCGCGCATTCTTGTTTGAACAACGTCAAAAATTCGTTAGCTCCTTCAAAATCTACCATGAGCTATTTAAACAACGAATTTAAATCTTCAACTCACTTCAATGCCGATGTGACTCTCCTCCAAATAAACATCGATCCCAACGTCATCAGAAATCCCCCATTGATTAGATTGTGAATTCGTTTCAGACGATAATAATCGACACCAGTTAGTGTGTATAGTAGAAATATCACGACACATTGCGTTATGGCGAATAAACCGAGAAATACGTAGTGTCCCGTGCTTAATCTCATTGTTGAGATTTTCTGATAAGAATTATCTTAGAAATAGCAGATGTGTTCATTGGGTCATTGTTGGTTTCATCGAAGCAAGCAAATATGATGATTGGCAGGTTTCGTATGCCACTCGAGAGGAATAAATATCGGCGGCAACGAATCCTTGCGGGACCATCGCTATGCCATTCACTCGCAGCTGACTGGCGACGACGACGGGCAGTTGATTGTCAGAGCAACGGTGGTGCAGTGGTTTATGTGACAACGTGATGAAACTGTGGTCTGTGTTATGCAGCCTGCGACCGTTCGGGCGCACGTGCACGTAAAAACGGTCCAGTGCCTGCCGGTGACGTAGCAGGTGCTTATTTATGTCGTCACATGGGTTATTCGTTTATAAAGGTTTATAGGACAAATTGGGGTGAGTGATGTACTCGGTCACTGAGTATGCGTTATCTATCCCTCCACGAGGACATTTAACAACTGCTCGTGAGTCGTCGCCGGCCCATACCTCTTCACCGGCGGCACGTAGGCGGCGCCGTTATGTGTTTCATTTCTTGTCGCCAACCAATAAGTGCTCCATTTGTTTGACGATTCTGGCTTCTGACTAGTTTAGCGCTCTAATGGCATCTGTCTGGTTATTGTTAGACGGTAATAGTTATGGGTGCACGATTTCAGCTGTAGATCGACGATGTCGGGCTCGACATCACCGGCGCGAATTGGCCGCAAACTTTCCACTACAAAAATCGCCAAGCAGTTGGCAGTAAGTTTTGAGTGATTTTTTCTATTTTTATTCCTGAATTAGTGAGTATTACTGTGGAATTAAGGGTCTCGGTCTTCGATCCGATGACATAATGGATCAAGGGGAGACGGCTCGTCACGAAGGCAGATTCGTGTTCGAGTGTAGCTGGGAGGTGGCAAACAAAGGTATTTACTTTTCGGTTTTACCACAGCGACCTGTCTTTAACAGCAATGTGTTCGCGCGCTTTTTTTTATCGCAAGGAAGATCCATTGAATAGCGTAAGACGAGTAAAGTGGATAAGAATGAAAGTGCAACTTTCAACTACTCCAAAGTTCAATGACAGAATACTCAAAGAACAGCAGTGGTAACGTATTATTTGGACAATCCCCAAATTCTGTAAAATCTCGTGATTTCCCGCGCAATTTTCCTGCTTTTTTCGTCCTCTCTCTCACATGTCCTATATTTCTCTCGTAGTCTGCTCCCAGCGGTGAGAAATCTAGTGAGATGGAAATTGAAAGGTAGAAAAAATTGGATAGCTTGAACGCCATTGGTCGTAATGGAATGGCTAAACTTTTGGGGCGTTTTGTGGATACCGTAAAATTTTGAATGTTCACAGACAAGAACTAAACTGTGATTGTCACAAAAAGCTTTCGACTTTCCAGTCGGAGGCATCTATACGGTACTTCGAACAAAAGCTCCAATCTCTACGGAAGAACTCGGTGATCAGTATTGTATGCTCGGACCATACAATGAGGATCGAGTTCGCCTCGAGGTTAGCTTTTTCTTGTTAAGCTTAATTTCATAACCATGTAAAACATTGCTCTATGTTACTCAAATTTTCTATTTTCTTGCTGATTTGAGATTGTTTCTCATTCTTGTTTGTTTTGCGTTTCTCAAGGCCAAGAAATGTCGTGGGTCCTTCGTTGGGAGCTTAGTGCACATGCGAATGGAATGCCTGTGATTGGTGATTGCGTACAATCCACCAATCAAAAATAGCTCTTGCACCTACCATATCTTTCTGGTCAATGGACGGATTACGCTAGCTGTAGAAAATTGTGGTTTCAATAGCTCTTACATTAGGTCTTAATAATGCGGTCAGTGTAAGTTATGCCGAAGGAAAGGAGTATAACGTGAGACAGTGCTGCTAACGATTGTTCTTTCGGTCCTTTCTAGTTTCGTTTATAAAATAGAAAGTTCATCGAGGGTGCAGTTCAAAGTACGACCAGTTATCACGCAACGAAGTCACGTTGCGATTTCGTCATTTGGGAAGTTCGCAGTTCTGCATTCCTGCATGACTGATAGCATTTGATAAGAATGACGCCCAGAACACGTAAACAAAAGCAAAAAAAAGACTGCGGACATTTGATAGAAGATCAGTGATCATCAGTCATTCAAAACTCACTATCTGCTTAACTTTTTTTAAACACAATATTCCAGGTCGAAATACTCGAACCAGATAATGCAGCGATGAAATACGCCTTGGATCATGCAAGAGATTGCGGCTTTAAGGTTTGTATTTGAAGTTTCAAACTATTCGAGTTACGTGGTTAAGGAATGTTCTGATCAAGTGGTCTTAAATGGGTACACTAAGGCGATGCGGATCGGATCGTGAGTCAGTGCATACTCCAAAGAACTTCGAGGACAGGGCCGCGTTCTTCACGACATGGGAAGTTGGAAGGCGGTCCTGTCCTAAAAGGCCAATGTAAAGGACATGCACTGGTTTAGAAGCAAAGAAATTGGAAAATTAGGAGACGGAAGGGTTAGGTTGCTCCGAAAAGGTTAGACAAGGATTGGTTGTATTTCACTCAAGACATATAATATCCTATCTCCTACTCTCCTTTGCGATACGCGTTAATATTTGCAATGCGATAACTGATCTCTTGATCAATACATATATTTGTGCCGCCAAAGAAACGGTCGCGTTCCCCGCCACATTCGCGCGAGCGTAACTATGAATTTGAAAAAATCGTTCCTCAATCGCTGTCGCGTTACGCGCTCGCGCTGTTGTGAATGGCCGGATGGGTTCACAATGAACTTGATGAGAAGACTCACAGTCAGATATGAAATAGACTCTTCTACATGGTATCGATTTGTAGCTTATCTATGGAAGATGGCTTATTGATGGATACCCAAAAGTGGTGCTGTTTGACATTGGCTCAGCGGCTTGGAAACTTGACCAGTGGAAGCATGAGGTTCATATCATTCTCGATTCTGGACGTTTTTTTTTGTAATTCACCTTACTATTGGTTAAGATGTGGGGAGTGACGAAGGTGGGAATACCGTGGCACGATCGTGAGTCGAACGACTGCATTATCCTTGGCTTCATGGTGGCTATTTTCCTTCAGAAGGTAATTCTGGAACTTCAACTTCAGTAGATATTAGTTGCTAAATAAGGTGTTATACTTTGCGTTCTACTGGCAATCCTTCTAGTTTGCTGAAGCAATAGCTTCAACTGAACCTTTAATCGTGGCACATTTCCATGAATGGCAATCAGCGGCCGGTCTTATTATGAGCAGGTATAACTTTTTTGTTTACTTTTATTTTTCAAAACGTTGAGATTTCCTTTATCTCCAGTTCCATTTTTATTAGGAAGTGTTTGTTTCTGTAATCATTGAAAAATTTTCTTCATTGTTAGATGTTTAAAAAAGCATCGCTTGACGTTACAAAGCAAGACACGCTTTGTGGACTCTGCTTCCATGCTTCTCGCTGGACTATGAAATCTCCTGATTCTAGTAATTCAGCAGAGCTCACATTTTAAAAGTCAAATGGGTTTGGTGTCCACAGTAATGCTGCCATAAAGTCCATGTTTGTTTTTGTGGAAAATGTTCATGTTGGGTTGACTTCGTTGATGGTTAAGAGCTACTTCGGAGCTCTTAACTAAATTGAAAACATAAAACTAAATCGCATTTAAAACAAAAAAAATTGTTCGAGCTTAAAGCCCACACATAATAATCTGTGTGTTCAAAAAATGTAATTTTGGGGAAAAAGGCATAAGGTTTTGGCTTAGAGTGCCGGATAAGCCGTGACGAGCTACCGATTCCAGTCATACCCTGTCTCCAATCCAATGATGTCGACAGTGTCGTTGAACCAACCTACTGCTACCACTTGACATACCCCATCTTCGTCTTTAGTACTCTGAGCCGCGTTGGTCGCGCGTCAAAGCGAGGGTTTACGTAGCTGCTAGAACGGTGGACTTACAGAATCTTGAGCTTTTGTCCGAACTTCGTCAATTATTGTTTCCCAATTAAAAAAAATTGGCATCTCCATGTCTTTCAGAAATGCGATCTCAACGAACCTATTTCGGCCCAAGTCGTCCCCTCTCCGAAACTCCAAAACCCTGTTCTTGTCTGAGTCGGTCAGAATGACGGTCTACCCGGCTTGATTAAGAGATTGGTTCCTACTTTTTCGTTGGCCAGACATTGGTTTTCATTTTGATAGGAAAGACATCAAGCAATCGATCTGTAAGGGTATTGTGTAACAGCTATCTGTCATTGACGATACATCTTTTTCCACCCTCTACGAATGACGTCAAAATTGCGTGTCAATTCGAAGGTCGTGAGAGTCTTGCAGAAGCTCCTGACTGCATGTGCAGAATGAAAGTGATCTGAGCTGTCTGGGGTCGGTAACAGAGAAGCAGTTTTACATTCTGCGTCTCTCGCGTAACTTGACATAAGAAAACATATACTTTTACATCGATTTCCTGTGATCATAGTTCTGTTCCGATTCCTTCTATCAAGCTCTATGAATTGTTACAGGTTATGGAAACTTAACATTTCGCTGGTGTTCACGACTCATGCGACATTGTTGGGACGTCATCTTTGCGCTGGTGGTGTCGATCTCTACAATAATCTTCCTCGAGTACGTTCACTTGAAATTTTTTGCTCGATTCATGCTATACCACATCAAGCAGTGCAGTAGCACTGGTGCGTTCTGCCTTCCCACCACAAACAATCACATTATTCCTCGCAAGCTGCTCATGGCGCGACCAGCTCTGGCAGCTGAACGTTCGTTGTGTGTTATCAATTTCGTCTATCTTCGCCAGTTTTCCATACTTCTTCGGAACTGATCGCAACACTCAACAGCACGCATAGGCAGTGAGAAAAAGCGCGCGTCTCGTCTACACGGCGACCAGACTGAAACGTTTCGCGACCGCAGGCTTGATAAAAACCTTGTTCTCCATACTCTTTCCCATCTGATCCAGTTGGAGTATTCTTATTTTGTGTCTTTTAACACATTGCGTACCGCGTGCGCCACCATGTGGCGCACGATTTGGAGCGAAAGATCATAGTTTTATCTGATTTATTTGGCATTTTTCAATGCTCCTGAAGTGCTTGCACTCATTTTCAGAACCAGGAAAGCATAAGTATCATCACTGATAAAATTGTTGATAGATTAATGATGATTCATTTTTTAAAAACATGAAAAAGGTATGGAGATGCTCGTATAAGGGCGGTCCGCAATGTGTTAACAACGCAAGTCCAACGGAACAACAACTCCGTTACCATGAGCGTAATTGTGGAGTAACGTTCCAGTGACGGGTACCGACACGATGCTTACGGTCGGGCATCATAATCCAACTAGGGCTGCAGAATAGATTCCCTGAAATGCTTCCAAAGGAAATCGGATTGCACATATGAAGGGAGGGAACTAGGTCTGAATACGTTTTTGCAACTGCCTGAATACTGTGTGCGTTATCGCTAAGTCACATCGCGGCGGCGTACACACTTGCGGCGTGGCGCGTGCGATGCGCTTACCCTACTCCGACGCAGCTGTAAAAGATTGCATTCCTCTCGTTGTCTTGGTTCAAGATTCCTTCTCAGGTTCTTCGTTCCCAAGAACCTCTTGTCACAGTCAACTTTCAGATCGACGTTGATCGAGAAGCCGGTGAGCGGCAGATTTACCACCGCTACTGTATTGAGAGAGCTGCCGTACATCTCGCCCACGTCTTCACTACTGTCAGGTTCGTCGACACTGGTTTTCTTCTGCTCATCTTATTTATCAATAGGCTTATACTTACTGCTACTACTGTTCCAAGATAATTCTCCCTCAGCTGTCTCTCTTTTGCCTTTTATTTTTTCTTTTGCGCAACTTGTGATGATCCAGTAATTTTCTTGTTCGTTCAATATTTAAGTTCTCCAATCTGAGTGGTTTTTCACTCAGTGCTGCGTATTATTTTTGTAAAAAAAAACGCTGACTTTTGGACTCCTCAATTATCATCAAATGATTCCTTTCTTTGCTAGTACTGTGTATTCTCTGAAACGCACAGTGTTCATGTATCTCATTTTGCCTTGCACTTTGTTATTGCCTCTTGTACTTTCGTGCACTGGAGCCTCTTTTTTTGGACCAACAGGTACAGTAAAAGCCATTTTTATTGAATATGCTCAGTTTCCTGCAAGTGGAACCGGAAGGGGCGATTGTCATAGTTGAAGTTTCGGTGATACATTTGTGGCGATGGCCCCGAAAAAATCGGTGTTACGCCTCTTCCTTGATGTTCTTGATGCTTTCCTTCGTCGTATGTGCTACTATGTGTTGTGCAATTGTGACACATTTGGTGGAAACCAAAATTTACTCCTCCAGTACTGTCTCGCTTCAGTAATGCTTTCATGGGTCCTCAAGAGCTACTCATATAGTCGAATCAACCTCTAGACTTTTGCAAAGGTTGACTCGAGAGGTGCCGCGTACCCATAGGTTTCAATTTCTCCTTCTTCAGATCCCCCCTTCGACGCTCTTTCTCTCGGTTTTTGGTCTCACTTCCTTTCTACAAAATTGTTCACAGCAGCACTTTTTTGCAGTGCTCGTGTGGAGTAAGGTCTTGGATTTCTAAAATAGACCCTTGCAGCTGTTTTTTATCACTTCTCGGTATAGTACGCTGATAACATCTATTGTGTTCACATGATTGCACTCTTATCTGTCCGGCTTTCTAAATATTTTTTCTACCGTAATCTTGTCTACAAAAATTCGCAAAAGTCATTCTTTGAATTGTAGCCCATTTTTAATTGCAGTAGTAGTGAATTGATAGGGAAATGTCGAAAAAATATTCGGAAGACGTTATTTTTCGGAAGAGTCATCAATCTAATTCATCACACCAGGTGCATCACGCGGTCACATGGGGGAGAATTCGTTTCATTTGATTTGTTTGCTTGGTATCTCTCATGTTGCGAGGTTTTTGAACCCGAAAAAAAGCCCATATAACAGGGCACTACTATCGATAGATTATTGATTGTTAGCAAGAAAAAAATATGAAAGATACGGAGGTGAACGCAGGATAGAGTCTAGCAAAGGGTTTAGCAACAGGTGCTGGGTTTCCGCAACCATCTATAGGAACTGTTTGACGCGCTGCGTCATCGAGTAGCGTCGCTCTTGCTAGTTCTGCCAAGTCTTGCTTTATTGTTGTGGCAACATGACAGAGGGCAACATCGCTTCGAAGCAGCTAAGATCTTTGGCCAACCAGTACTGCCTATTCCATGCACGTACTTTCGTTTCAGGAACACATGTGTCACATACTTACGCCGAACACCCATCACCCGATTAAAGCAACACCCTCAACCAACCCAACTCTTGTCGAAGCATCTATTTATTTGTTAGGGTAAAATAGCCCACGAGCGGCATAGTGGTAGCCGATCGAAAGTGCGCGAAATGGCGCTAAGGTCTTACAAGAGTCAGCATTTGGCGACTAATCTTAGCATTTGGACGAGTTACGTAGCGCACACCCCATGACACGCAACGTGGATTACGGCGTAGCGGCTAATTCAAATACGCGCGGGTTAGTTGAGCCGTGGAGCAGGCAAGTTCGTACAACTCGTCTGGCCCCGCCCCTTCCTTTTCGAAAGGAATTTTTGTTTTGGGCTTCATCGACGGTTTTTTGCTTCTTTTTCAATTTAAGTCATTTCGGCATCCGCAATATCATTATCAACCGCTGTGACCCTACAAATTCGATGGGTGCTGCTTCAAACGCGAAATTCGGACTGCTGTAGCGTGACGTCGCGTTTTGCCATGCTGGTTGGCTCCGAATGACAATACTAATACAGTTACGTGCAGCCATCGAGTGATTTTAGCTAGTAGGAATAAAACGAGATCTCCTTACTTTGCGGCCAGTAAGGTTTACCCAACCTAGGGTGTTAGAAGCATAGAGGATTATGTGGCGCTGTAATGATAACACGCAGGTGTTTGAGAAAGGCGGAAAACCCTGCAGAATGTTAGGAACATGATAGCAAAAATTCCAATGAGGAGCAGTGCTCCAAGTAACATGTTGGGTTTTCAGCTGGGAAAGATTGAATGGTCTGACATACTGGTATAGCCGTCGATGTCTTTCGGAGCTGATTTGTCCCGTGAGGACTTATTTGATGGACAGATACTCATGAAGGAGCGCAAGTTGTTTCAAATCGAAAAAGCGAGCACTGTAATTTTGATGACTTGGCATTCTGCCGAACGGCTGGGGACTGTGACCTGATATTCTGGGCTCTGGCGTTCAACTGTTATTTTTGGATGAAACTCATTCGCTGTATGACAGAAGATTTCTCCCGTCATTAGTCGTTCAGACCCTTGCACCACAATTGGAAGGGAGGGGCATATAGCTGCCATGAAACCGCAAAAATTTCCCTCTTTTTCCTTTATTTCCTCATTTTCCCTCTTTTTACCTATATTTCCACTGCAACATTTTCTAGGGGGGTATATACGCACGCTGAAACGGCAAATTTTCTCCCGCGCGCTCTCACCTCATCACATGTAATTTCGTGCTACCGAAACAAGTACGACCCCCCCCCCCCCTCCACAAACTCAACAAACTACGACCCCCCGTTGGTACTTGTTCCAACGTAGGGTTGACCCTGCTTCCTAGTAGGGCTGGTACCGATCACCTGTTATGGAAGGTTGAAAACTTTGTAGGCGAGGCGAAATTTGATTCTGTGATCCGTGGGCCATACACGGGGTAATGGCGCTACTCTCTCACAACACTGGTTCTGCTCCCAGTAGCAAGTACATATGCTATTCCGAAAATATTAGCACGTTTTAAAACCATCATCAATTCGCTATAAATAATTAGAGCGGCTTCGGACAACATTCCTCGCTGCTAAGCATTCGCACAATTTGAGTCAATTCATACCTTTTGAAGTGTTCTTGATTCAACAAATAAACAGCTCGAGCAAAGCTCAGAAGTCTTTTGGATCCTTTATGTCGGACTGCTTACTTTACGTCCAGAGAAGGGCTACAGGGGCTACTTGTGAGATCACACATGGAAACGAAACCTTCATATCCGAAATTGTGGGGGAACCCATGGGAATATCTTGGTTGCGGCTCAAGAACTCTCACTGAAAGTATTGGGCTCAAGAACTCTCACTGAAAGTATTGAGCAACCGATGGCCAGTCATTCCCAATTTCCGGAATGTGGCATAGATATCGGGCGATGCGTGGTCGATTTTTGCATAACCATAATCAAATATGTAAGTACATCCTCCCCATCATTCAACTTTCTGCAACGCACCTTGACAATTGTGATGACTATGGAACTTCGGATGCCTTCAAAGCATTGTATTCCTTGAAAAACCTTGCAGTGTTGCATGGTACATGGCGTAGTCTAGCGCGTCATGCCTTTGAGGTGTTTACCCCACTTGCTGAATGCCTTCTTCACTAATAGAATCAAAATATTTCCATGAATATATCTCATCATTTCTTTCATGACAACACTCAATTGTTACCCCTGAGCACCTCACAAATATTTCCGGCTTACTGTCAACCTTCGGATTATGTTTGTCATTTATTTTTGGGTTTTTTCACACACCTAATGATTCATTGGAATATTGGTTATTTCCACTTCAGTGGTAGTAAAGCTATTCTACGAAGTTCCTCTTGGGAAAGATTAGGTATGTGTTGCGAAGTGGGGTCCGTTTTAAACTATTCCACCGGTCAGAATACAATTTTTTTCAAATTATATTTCAAGGTCTCCCATTAGGGAGCCTCTCAATTGTTCCACAACTATTTTTTCGTTCTTTTTGTTATAAAAACGGCTGCCATGAAAATACCTGGAGTGTCTGGCAGCGCTTCAAGTTGAATAATTCATTTAATGTGCTTCTAATTTCGCGTTTTCCTTCTTACGAACGCTGCAATAGAAACCCGAACCTTGCATTGTGTACAGCGCTATTTCGTCCCGTTTTACCTCGAACCCGTAACCCTTCGCAACAGTGCATCAGTAGTTCATATTGATCACGGCAACGTGCCAGTATGTGGCATCGCATCACGCTTACTCTCACAAATCCGTAGTATTAAAATGGCTCATCTTTGACGAAGTTGAGCTTTCCATCGAGCGTTTTCTTCTTCGTTGCAGAAACTCAGGTTTGCAGCCATCGAACAAAAAGAGTCCTGAGTACGATTCGGACGGCTAATTATTTCTTCACAGACCGTGTTTACGTCTATCAAGAGTAACGAGTTTCATTTTTTTTTCTAATCCTGTGCAGATTTAAACTTATAGCCAGCATAGCCCTATTTGTTGTCAGCACCCTGTTGGCAGGTGCTGCGACCATTGTAAGGGATCCGAGCTGTCATTCATACATGTGGTAACTTTTTCCACTAGTAGGGGTTTATTTGAATGTGGTAAGAGTTGAACTACGGACCAGAGATTTCATAGCTTCGAAGAGGGAAACGCGTAGAAATCCTGTGCCCAATCCTAGCTGTCACATCTCTTCCTGCTTGATAGCTGTA